TGTCATGAATTAAAAATTAGGTGTATTAAATTTAAACTAACACTTCTCAATCTTTTCATGAAAAATTGTCTCCACTTAACTGAAAAATCCCAGAGACCTCGGGTCCTACACCCTTCAATCCCTTGCCTCTTCATGATTTCCTCCATATATAGAGCTGGACGACTGTCCACTGCAATGTTACTAAATACCACAGAAATTTTGAAACTTTTGGTCATATGGTTAAGGCTGCTTAGGGACGGTTTAGGTTTGTTGGCTTAATTGCTGGGAGACAATGAAAATGATGTAATTATGAACTTCAAAATATTGTTAAGTGCCAGCCGAGTAGTTTGTTGGCCTACTTTTTAGCTTTGCATTTAATGGCGGGAAGAATGGGCTCCCCAACTCCCACAAGTGCTCCGTGAAGGACCATGGTTCCTGCTTCATTTCCATTTTGATCCATTTCTTTATCCTTCTGTGATCCTGTCTGGTAGCAATGGAGGAAGTACAACTAACCTATACTGGGGTTGATGACGAGGAAATGGAATCAAAAATGGAACAAAAACAGCCGCAGAATTCTAGCAATAGGCAACCTGTTTCTTTTTTTGGTTTGTTTGGAGCTGCAGATAAGGTTGATTGCGTCTTGATGTTGTTTGGAAGTTTAGGGTCTTTCATTCATGGAGCCACACTTCCTGTTTTCTTTGTATTGTTTGGCCACATGATTGACTCTTTGGGACATCTATCCTCCAATTCTCACACATTGTCATCTCGTGTATCCGAGGTACGTTGCAATTTCTATCAAAATATTTCCCTTGTCTTAAAACTGTGCCCATATTAATGAGGTTTAGAATTGTTCCGCCAAGCATATTTGGGCTTCATTATTGTTTCCTTTATTTGCAGTATGCTTTGTACTTGGTGTATCTTGGTCTCATTGTATTTGTATCAGCATGGATAGGTATGTTAAATGTCTGGTCCAGCTGCTATATTGTTGTTTCTTTCTTAGCATCCTTTGATATTTATATATTTTCAGGTGTTGCATTTTGGACGCAAACTGGGGAAAGGCAGACAGCTCGTTTGCGTCTGAAGTACCTTCAGTCAATTTTGAAAAGGGATATTGGCTTTTTTGAGACAGAAGCCAGAGACACTAACATAATTTATCATATTTCAAGTGATGCAATCCTTGTTCAAGATGCAATAGGTGACAAGGTAATTTGCCTTAAAGAGGACTGACTGACTATATGTTCTTGTTAGTATTGTCTCATAAGGTTTGTTCACTTCTTGTACATCCTCTTATGTATTTGATGCAGACAGGACACGCTTTGCGCTACCTTTCTCAGTTTATTGTTGGTTTTGCCATTGGATTTACATCGGTTTGGCAGCTTACACTAGTCACCTTGGCTGTGGTTCCACTGATGGCTGTTGCAGGTGGTGCTTATACCATAATTATGTCTACTTTATCAGAAAAGGGTGAGGCTGCCTATGCTGATGCTGGGAAGGTTGCAGAAGAAGTAAGTAAAAAGATCACTTGCCTGCTTAATTTGACGTTTTCTTATTTACTCCTTCTGCAAGACAAAATTTTCTTCTCTGTGTTTTCAGGTTATTTCACAGATTCGCACAGTATACGCATTCGTCGGAGAGGAAAGAGCAGTAAAAGCATACTCTAATTCACTAAAAAATGCCCATAAATTGGGAAAGAGGAGTGGATTGGCTAAGGGTGTTGGTGTTGGTTTTACTTATGGGCTGTTGTTCTGTGCCTGGGCCTTGCTTCTTTGGTATGCCAGCATACTTGTGAGACATGGGGACACAAATGGAGGAAAAGCATTCACCACAATCTTCAATGTCATCTTTAGTGGATTGTAAGTCCAACTGTGGATTGTTCAAAATAACTAGTTATCCGATTTCTATTCCCTTTAGTACTTGGAAATATTTCGTGTTAAAAATTAGGCCTTTTGTCTTTGCAGTGCACTTGGTCAAGCTGCTCCAAACCTTGCTGCCATATCCAAAGGCAGAGCTGCTGCGGCCAATATCTTCAGTGTGATAGAAACTGATTCAGAGCCTTCAAAACTTTCAGATGGCAGAATTGTTTTGCCACAAGTATTTGGTGAGATTGAATTTTGTGAAGTCTGTTTCACTTACCCCTTGCGGCCCACTATGGTATTTGCAAACTTGAGCTTTTCAATAAGTGCTGGGAAGAGCATTGCAGTTGTTGGTCCAAGTGGTTCAGGAAAGAGTACAATCATATCAATGGTTCAACGTTTCTATGATCCCACTTCAGGTACTCAACAATTTTAACTTATTAATAAGCTTTGAAGGTTGTATTTGTGACTGATATTTCGAAGTTCACTAGGCAGGATACTACTGGATGGACATGATCTCAAGGATCTCCAGTTAAAATGGTTGAGAGAACAGATGGGGTTAGTTAGTCAGGAACCGGCATTGTTTGCCACAACAATAGCTGCCAATATTCTGTTTGGTAAAGAGGGTGCAGACATGGATCAGGTTATACAAGCTGCCAAAGCTGCTAATGCACATTCTTTTATTGAAGGATTACCTCATGGTTATTCGACACAGGTAGTGTATATAAGAACTGTGACTTATGTTGTTTTGACCTTTTTCTGCAGTAATGCACAAACAATCTCTAGTGCAAATGTTTTTAATGTCACTGAATTAGGTTGGAGAGGGAGGAACTCAGCTTTCTGGAGGGCAAAAACAAAGAATTGCTATTGCGAGAGCAGTGCTGAGAAACCCAACTATACTGCTTCTAGATGAGGCCACCAGTGCACTTGATGCAGAATCTGAGCTTATAGTTCAACAAGCACTGGAGAAAATTGCATCCAACCGAACGACAATCATAGTTGCACATAGGTTATCAACGATTCGAGATGTTGATACCATCATTGTTCTGAAGAATGGCCAGGTTGTTGAAAGCGGGAGCCATATGGATTTGATCTCCAAGGAAGGAGACTATGCAGCTCTAGTGAACTTGCAAGTTTCCGAAAAGATTTCAAATTCAAGCTCAATATTCAATTCTGAAAATTCAGGAAGTAGCAGCTTCAGGCTACTCAACAGTGGGAATCCTCGGTCAATTTCATCAAGAGGATTCCAGACAAGTGGTCAAAGCTCAAGTGCTGCAAATTCTGCTCCCACTCCCTCAATATGGAAGCTGCTAAAACTCAATGCCCCAGAGTGGCCTTATGCAGTACTTGGATCAATTGGTGCAATTCTGGCTGGCATGGAAGCTCCCCTCTTTGCCCTTGGAATTACACACGTCTTGACTGCATTTTATTCTCCTCATGAATCCCAAATAAAACAAGAGGTTGACAGGGTAGCTCTTATATTTGTAGGAGTGGCTGTTCTTACTATTCTAATATATCTTTTGCAACACTATTTTTACACATTAATGGGGGAGAGCCTGACAACTCGTGTTCGCTTATCAATGTTCTCAGGTTGTTTTTCTGCATTTCATAAACTAAGTACATTACCATTTCCTTGTATGTGATGTAAATATGTAATCTTTACTCTGAAAGATCATTTTTCCCTTCAACTGCAGCTATCCTTTCCAATGAAGTTGGCTGGTTTGATTTTGATGAGAATAGCACAGGTTCACTCGCAGCAGCTTTAGCTGCAGATGCAACCTTAGTAAGAAGTGCCCTTGCTGATAGGCTATCAACAATTGTCCAGAATGTGGCACTTACCGTGACAGCATTTGTAATTGCATTCACGCTAAATTGGCGTATATCATCAGTTGTCATTGCTTCCTTCCCCTTACTCATAGGAGCTGCCATAACTGAGGTAAGATAGAATGTATTCAACATTGTGAAGGGATTTCTGGTAGCATGGTCTTCATATTCATATGTACTTTTGTTCTTAAAATTTCAGCAATTATTCCTTAAGGGATTAGGCGGAGATTACAGCAGGACATACTCTAGAGCAACTTCTCTGGCACGAGAAGCAATTGTCAATATTCGTACTGTTGCTGCGTTTGGTATTGAAGACAAGGTCTCATTCCAGTTTGCCTGTGAACTAAACCAACCAAATAAGCAAGCATTGTTAAGAGGCCATATTGCAGGTTTTGGGTATGGGGTCACTCAATTCTTTGCATTCTGCTCCTATGCACTTGGCCTTTGGTATGCATCAGTCCTCATCAGGCATAAAGGTTCCAATTTTGGAGACATCATCAAGTCCTTCATGGTTTTGATAATCACAGCTTTTTCAGTAGCAGAAACGCTTGCTCTTACACCAGACATCGTGAAGGGATCACAAGCACTTGGATCTGTTTTCAGTATTCTACACAGGAAAACCGAAATAGAGCCTAACAATCCCTCATCAAAGGTAGTAACTAATATCAAAGGAGACATACTATTCAGAAATGTGAGTTTCAAGTACCCCATGAGACCTGATATCACCATATTTGAGAACTTAAACCTGAAGGTCTCATCTGGAAAAAGTCTAGCAGTAGTTGGACAAAGCGGGTCAGGGAAAAGTACTGTTATTGCATTACTAATGCGATTCTATGACCCCATTTCCGGGACAGTTCTAATTGATGGGGATGACATCAAATCCTTAAACCTAAGATCATTGAGGAGGAAAATGGGTCTAGTTCAACAGGAACCAGCATTGTTCTCAACTACAATCTACGAAAACATCAAGTACGGGAATGAGGATGCATCAGAGATCGAGGTACTGAGAGCAGCAAAAGCAGCAAATGCTCATGGATTCATAAGCAGAATGCCTGAAGGGTATCATACTCATGTGGGTGAAAGGGGAGTGCAATTATCAGGGGGACAAAAGCAGAGGGTGGCCATAGCTAGAGCAATACTGAAAGACCCTTCTATTCTTCTCCTTGATGAAGCTACAAGCGCCCTGGATACAGCATCGGAGAAACTTGTTCAGGAGGCTCTAGATAACCTCATGGAAGGCCGAACAACAGTCATTGTAGCACACAGGCTTTCAACCATCCGCGATGCAGATCGTATTGCTGTGTTGCAACATGGAAGGGTGATTGAAATGGGCAACCATGAGTACCTTTCTAGGAAACCTGGTAGTGTCTATAAACAATTAGTTAGTCTGCAGCAGTCAGGAAGCAATGAAGAGTGATTCTGCCTAGAAATTATCTTGCACAAAGTTAAGGATCGAAAATAATAAGGATAACACATTACAGAGTGTTGCTTAAGATACATGGATTGATAAAACGCCAGCATTAATTTTGCTTGGTGAACCATTATCCAATGCTATAGAACAATATTACATGAACATTTTGTAATCCAATATTTTATATATTTATGAGAATGGTAAAATACTATAAACGTTTTTATAAATATTCTTGCTTTATGTCGTCTTTCTCTTCTTTTTCTTTATCTCCTTTCTTTTCTTAGATTCTTTAATTTTGAAATTCAAATGATTTTCAAAAAGCTTTTTGTTGCTTTGCCTTTTTTCTCCTTGTTGTTTGGTCCATTTATAATTTTGTAATTTATTTGTTCTTTTTCTTTTTCTTTTTTTTTTGGTTGCCTCTAATAAGTTCTTTTTGACATCTCTAAATTTCCCAAATTCTTCTTCATAGTTTCAAAATTTAAACTTATTCTTATCAACTCAAAACTTTTAAAAGATCAATAACAAAGTTAACTCATTTGAAATGGTTTTATAAATATTATTGCTTTATTTCTTCGTTTTCTTTATCATTTCTTTCTCAAATTCTTTGATTTTGAAAAAATTCAAATGATTTTCAAAAGGCTTTATGTTGCTTTGACATTTTTTCCATTTTTGTTTGATCCATTTAATTTTGTAATGTGTTTGTTCTTTATTTTTGTTCGCCCTATAGTAAGCTCATTTTTTGACACATCCTTCTTTCTTTCAAAATTTTCCTCACTATTTCAAGTTTCGAAACTATTTTTAATCTCTCAAATCTCTTTAAAAAATCAATAACAAAATAACTCACTTGAATAGTTGAAAAAAAAAAATTAACTTACTTGAAAAATCTCATAATAATAAAATATTTTTTAATACATTTGATGATTTAGGTTATATAATAAATGTAACCCTAAATAAATGTGATATATAACAATACTTTAAATAAAGATAAAATTTTAAGAAAGTGTTAAAAAAAAAAGTGGTGCTATTGAAACAATTTTTTTATTTCATCTTTTTATACAACTTTCACATATTATTAAATGAGTAAATGTATTTAATATTACGAGTTCCATATAAATTAAATGTGACACATTAAATTGTATAAAAAGATGAGATAAAAAAATTATCCAAATAACTTTTTTCAAAAAAAATAATAAATAAATAAAAGTTACCCAAAATAGCAATAAACTCGAAGTGGAGGGTTTGAAACTAAAAAGCGGGAGATAATTTAATTTTCGAAAAAATAGTAATTAGAAAAGGAAAAGAAAAAGGAAAAAAAATGAAAAATGGAAATACCCAAATAGAGGGGGAAGATATTATTACGTGGTAAATGATGAAAAGGAGTTGTTGTTGATGCATAGCTGGCGAGAGGCTGGCTAGGTCAGCTTGGCTAACGCTTCCATCGGATTTCATCTTTCTCTCTCTCATTCTTTTACTCTCTGAATCTCTCCCCCTCTGTTTCCTCTCATTTTGCCATTTCCTTCTCTTTCTCTCTCAAAATTAGGGTTTCTACTTTGAACACAATCGATGAAATTCTGGCACTCACGGTTTCGTTGTAGGAGTTGTTAGTTTATGCTGATCTCGATCTTTGTTTTAGCAGAGTATGAAGAGGATTTTTGGAAGAAGGTGAAAGATATCTAGGCTGTTCGATTATTGAGTGGAGATTCGAAAAGATCTGAAGCTAGATAGGTGATAGGCATTTTCGATTTGTGATCAATCGGAATCGAGCGGCCGTCGAAATGAGCGCCTCGAGATTCATAAAGTGCGTGACCGTCGG